CAGTGTTTTAATTTTTTGAAGGACATGTAAGTTGTCCTTGACCCAATGGTTGCCGCAGAAGTCGGGGACGAGGGGTTTAAAGATGCTGTCTAGCCAGTAGGAGGCTCTAGTGGTAGGGCCTCTGATTTGTGAAATGATGCCCCTAAAAGGAGGAAGTATTGAGCCTTCTTTGTTTGGTTTGTGGATCTTAGGGAGGCCATAAAAGTGGGGGGCAGGATACCTCACCGTGGAGAATACTCTTGTGGGTTTCGGGGGATATCACTTTAAGTTGGTCCAGTGTACGGATTTGTTTGTGAATAGCCTTAAGGTGAGAGGAAGGTCATCATCATCATCATCATTACCACCATCAGCAGCATCATCAGCACAGACTAATCAATTCCCCTTTTTATTGTTTTGTTTTTCTTGAAGTATAACAATTTGCACCACGTAAGCACATTTTTTCGTAACACAGAAATATCGGCACCAGAATCACGATACGGGACTAAACAAAAAAAATAATATTACTTCAATAATAAAACGGTATTTTGACAAGACCAAGAGCGACTGACCACATAAGTCTAGGGAGCGTACCAGAATGCAGCATAGTACACTGAGCCATCCTCCTCTGAATACTCAGACAAACACTGCAGTGTCAGATTATTCTCCGCGGCCTCCAACAGCTCTGGCACTAGCCCGTACTTGGACAGAGCTGACCGGTGGTATCTATCCCTGGGACCTGCGGGCAGCCAGCACCCACTGACCCAAGGCTTACCGCCGGCACAATAGAACTTGACGTATGAAAGGCTTCGACCCTTCTTGATCTGGTTATTGAGCTCGGTGATAAAATTTTCTGGAGTTATCTGTACCCAGAAGACAGATTTGCTGTCATGGCTGGCAGGTTTGCCGCTGCCACTGCTACAGCCGCTTTTGACTTTCTTTCTTTCTTCTTTTTTGGTGAGCAAAGAACTCACATAAAGTTCACCGTTCACTTCAGTCACGGACTGCGACAAGAAATCGTGTGTCTTAATAAGCTGCTTAGCTTGCTTTAAATACTCCTCTGCCTTCGTGGAGAGAATGTAAGTATTTTTCTGAAAATCCTTTCCCATTCTCAGAACAGCTGAGAATCTGAGATCATTTGCTGTGCTTCGGAAAGAGTCTAAAAAACTAATAGAGTAATTCAAGTTACAGTGTGTGTTCAAGGCGTCTTCCAGCTTGCTTTGAGATTCATCTAAAAATACAATGAAATTTTCTTCTGGAACGATCCTGTCTAAAACTATTATGTATCTTTTTCTTACTTCTTGCTCAAACTCAGTCTCTTTTTCCCTAAGGTTATCACTATCTACTTTGCCTCGGAATTCTTGAGATTTAAAATCAAAGACATTATGAGAAATCATGTTTATCCACACAGGCACAAATGACTTCTGTTTAAAAGACTCAACAACGTTCAAAGCGGTACACTTATCAACATCTATCAAAATAATCTGAGATCCTTCACTCGTGGAGATCTGCACACCGCCACCGGGCAAACTCAGGGTGGAAACCGACGGTCTAAAGATGTCCACATTGTCCACAAAACACAAGCCACACTTGATGATTCCGTTCAGGTCCCAGTCCGTGGCCCAGGCGTTGAGCAAGAAGGCCCAGCTGATGCCACTGCGGTGGCGATACAAGCTGCTGCATGTTCCTTCCATGCCACCCGTGTGGCCGAACGACTGGCCGTCATCCTGAACATCCCAGCCCAGACCGTACCAGTCGTGACCCGACTCAAAACACGGGCGGGACAAACTCTCCTCAGCTCGCTCATAGGTCAATAATGCTACATCCTTCAAAGGCTTGTAGTCTTCTACGGAAAATGTTTTAATAGAATTGTTTTCACAATTATCCATCCCTCTAGGGAAAATCCTTTGATCATCAAAAAAAGCATGTTCACACAAACATTTCTGGTTAAAATCTTCTTTGAGCTTCACACTTATTTCTCCATCAAATGTTGGACTAGAGTCAATAACAACTTCACATGAAATGTCTGGGGTTACCTCATGTTTTCTATCGGTGGAGAGGTCTAAAGTAGAAATATTCTGTTGTGAGGGGAAATGTCTCTCTGTGCACATATAAGAGATTTGATCCTCCTTTTCACTCCCAATATAGCTCCTCACACTGTATACCGAATTGCAAGAAACTTGGCAGTTAGGAGATTCTGAACCTCGAGAAATTGACTCACACGATGAAAATGCACAAGATTTTTCAGCATCATTTCCATTACCCTTCTTCACAGTGAGGTCAGTTTCATTGCAACTGTTTTCCGACTTGTCTTCCAAACACAAATCTTTCCTACGTTTGTCACATGCACTGACATTCGACTTTTGACGAGATGTTGAAAGATGAAAGCTGTGGAGAAACTGGAGCAGGTTCCGTGTGTTGGAGATAAGCCCTCCATAGGAAGCCGCACTCTCCATAGCCAGTCCTCCATACTGTGGGATCACCTCACCAAAACCAGGGAAAATGGACTTCACCAAGTCTGGTGATCTGTTGTTGTAATACTCAACCTGGAGATGAATCAAGTACACTCTGTCAGTCTCTTGCTACAGACACACCAGCATAATCACATGTCACTGTTATATATATATAATAATCTGAGATCTATCACTAGTGGATCATATATAATATATGAGCTTTGTGATTATAGTAATTTATAGTAGAGTCTAGATAAATCAAAATGTGCAAGAACGCAGGATTTTCTTCAGTTTAGCCGTGCTTTCTGTTTACAGAGAATGCTCAAATAGAGAAGAAAAAAAACAAACAGTGTTTAATTTAAGCGGACTCCACGGCAGTTCGATTTTTCAATGATCAGATCTAAAAAAGAGCTTAATATTAATGTGAAGGTGCTTACAAAATGAGTTGCTTCTCGGATTCAAGCCTTATTGAAATAGATACATCATGCCTATAGGTGAAGTTTTTACCGTTTAGAAATATGAAATAATAAAAAGCAAGCTATACTTAAAGAATGTGGCATCAATAGAAAATCAACAATTTGACCCTAGTGTCGATTTTTGGTCAATATCTCCATTTGGGGATTTCCAGAAGTAACTCATTTTGTCCACACTTCTCACATTTCATTGTCATACCACTGCTTCCTGATGATGTAAAAAATGTGCTATAATAATAATAATTGCATTTATATAGTGCATATCCATGCTCAAGAGCATGCTCTATGCGCTTTACAACTACTATTACCCCAGCAGACCCTCTGAGAACACTCAGAAACATACTCGGCTTCTGCGGAAGCATGCAGTGCAAGCTGCAGATTCCATGCGCTCAAACACTATCAAACTGACAAGATCGTTCACTGTCTATAGCCGGGTACCCATTTCCACCTGGGTGAAGTGAGGAAAATTTGTGCAAAGTGCCTTTCCCAAGGACACAAGATCGGGCCCCTGACGGGATTCGAACCCACGACCTAACGGTTGCGAGTCCGACAGCTTAACCACTAAGCCATCGACGCTTCATTCAAACCCTTTATTTTTTATTTCCCTAAATAAAGAACCAGAAAACAAAATGGTTCGGTTCATCATTAGTATCCTTGAATGAAAGGATGGTCAAGTAAGACTAAGGGTTGGGGTGCTGACTCCGATGAAATAGTTGAAAACAAGCAAAGTTAAATATGCTCATGTGGGAGAGTGACTAAACTCATCTTGGTAACAATGGTAAACATAATCATTGATTTACATCTTTCAACTTTGTTCAGGGCAAAACAGGGCACAACCCAGTTGTTACAGCCGGATTTTCAGTTTAACTCTATCCGTACACCCTGGGGTCATTTTGTACCCCCCGGGTTGCATTCTTCACTATTTAGAATACTTCTAGAGCGAAGATCTCTTTGAAACTTTCAGTATTTCTCAAAAAATCATTTTGACAGACTACTATGCAAAGCGTACGGATCGGATTAATGAGTAAATTTCCTCATATGGATACGATAGTAAAACACGACGTACGGATAGGGTTAAAGAGGTTGCTCAAACAGAAGGAAAAAAAAAATTTTTCAATTGGTTTACTGCTATTTTCAGATTAACTATGTTCTCTTTAAGCGGACTCCTCTGTACTCTTTAAATTATCTTCTCAGGTGGGAAATGAAATCATGCCTTTTGTATGCAAATACAAAGCGAAGGCTTCAGTGGTTTAAAAAAACAATAACAAAAAACCCACCAAAACTCCCCCCCCCCCCCTTCCCCAACAAAAAAAACCCCCAAAAGAAGAAAATTGTTTAAAAACCAAAACCCCCATCACAAATACTGGTAAACTCATCTTCTTTACTCTACAAACTGCCTGCTTACTTCATCACTCCTCCAGCAAGTCCTGGAGGCCCTGCCAACTTCAATGTCTTCTATGCCAGTGGGTCGGAGGAAGTCTTTCATGTAGTCCCCAAACTTCTGCCCTGTCACCTCCTCCAACACCTCACCAAGTATCAGATAACCCAAGTTGGAGTACGCATGTCGTTTACCTGGAAGAAGGAAGCATGTGGAAAAATCTTCAATATCTTGCCATCAAACCAGATATGTATTTCTTTAAAATATTTTTTTTTAAAGTTTAAGTTTGGGCAGGAAGAGTGTACATTTACAAAGTCAAACATTGAATTTTTTATTTTTTATTTTGAAGACAAATTTAATTGAATCTCTCAGACACAGTGTAGTGTTGCTGTGTTTCAGTACAAGTTTGGAACTACTTCAGATAAATAGGTGCTTAATTGTGTTGACTGCAGGGTAAAAACATAGAGATGGTATCAAACATTATCTTCTCACCACAAGTACTACGTTTCCCTTTTTAAGATATTCGATGCAGTCAATCTAAAGACCTACAAACCTTAACATGTACTACCTATTGAAATAGTTATGAACAATTATAATCTATTACTCCTTTTCTATCTGAAAAACAAAGGAACAAACATAAAATAAACAACAACAAAAAAATCACCCAATCAAAGACCCTCTGTCCTGTATTACCTGTATCACCTGTCCTGGGCAACAACGTCATTGCACACCGGACAGGTCCATAAGTGCTCAGTTCCCCCCAGCACCAAAGCCCGCAAGGTATCCATACTGATTGTTCCGGTGGCTGTCTGATTATGGTGACCCTCTGCCCTACTTAGTTCATTGCCAACAGACAGACGTAGTCTTTCAGTCAACAGCGGTTTATTTCTAAAAGTCGAAAAGATATACGACGGAGAAAGGTCTTAGGCCACTGAAAAGCAAAAAAAGTTGATTTTTAGAAAAATGCGGTAAATGGGTTTCTTAAACTGAACTCTTGACATGGGCTCATATGATCTCATGTAGTTGTTAGAACTGCTCAAATGATACCAAATAATTTTCATACCGGGTGTAAACTGCAGTTTTCTCCTCAGAGCGTAAGTCAGAATGGCGTGGTTGTAGCCGGCGGTGCCGGGATGTTCTTTCTCCACACACGGCGGCCGAGAGAAGATAATGTCGTCCACCTGTTCCCTGTCCCATCCACCCGAGTGTTGGAGCAAATGTCGCACGGTAATTGTCTTGCCACGCTTGTCCCCTGTTCTGTACTTCTTCAGTATTCCTGTTTTTAGTAAGATATTTCATATCAGGGTACACGACAAGAGAAAGACCAAGGAAGACCTGGATATTGAGGGTGTGAATGATATCCAGAAAACACACAACATCCCACCCAGCCAGGCCGTCCCGCTTGCTAGAGACAGAAAGCTTTTTTTCCACTTAACACCCTTGTGGTACAAGAGGAAGGGATAAAGTAAAGTAAGTAAGTAAGTATTTAAAGTCTGTAGACCACATGCCCTAAGATAAAATGAATCGCCGAGGGAAGGAGGAAGAGAAGAATGCAGATATCCACCTGGGAATAAGACCTGGACGAGCACCTAAGACAGAGGGGACTCAGCCAGCTTGAGGAGAAGAAAATTACTCAGAATAGAGAAAGGTGGAGAGTCCTCTCTCTCTCTTTCTCCACTCTCTACCTCTCCTCTCTCACTGTCTCTGTCTCTCTCTGTCTCTCTCTCTCTCTCTCTCTGGGCAAGTATCCTACTCTCTCAAAGGTGGAGAGTCCTCTCTCTCTCTTTCTCCACTCTCTACCTCTCTTCTCTCACTCTCTCTGTCTCTCTCTCTCTCTCTCTCTCTGTCTCTCTCTCTCTGGGCAAGTATCCTACTCTCTCAACCTGTAAATGAAGGAGTAAAGTGGCCTTCTTAGACAGGTGGTAGTCTTAAACCATGTCATTATGTTAAGAAAAATGCAAGGGGAGAAACGGGACATGGCTATTTGTACAGGTGATTGTCTTATACAGGTGGCTGTTTGTACAGGTGATTGTCTTATACAGGTGGCTGTTTGTACAGGTGATTGTCTTATACAGGTGGCTGTTTGTACAGGTGATTTTCTTGTACAGGTGGCTGTTTGTACAGGTGACTGTCTTATACAGGTGGCAATTTGTACAGGTGATTGTCTTATACAGGTGGTCGTTTATATATATATATATATATATATATATATATATATATATATATATATATATATATATATATATATATATATATATATATACAGGTGGTTGTAAGAGCAGGGTTGACTGTATATAAACTACCTGTTTATCCCTATTACTCCTAGTATCTAGCAAACCGCTCCCAGCAGCTCGCAGTCGGAACCGCTTTGCAGGTGAGCAACTGGCAGTGGCCCAATCACATTCCTTTAAGAAAACTTCGAAGTCAAATTACTTTTCGGCAATTGTTTTCGAAAACAGGTCTCTTTTCCAGGGAGTTCATTCATTAGATGAAGAACTACCAAAATAGGCTCATTTGTTTTGATTTAATGTCTAATTTAGTGATGTTTTTGTCATTTTTAGATTTGGTACCAAAAAAAGCCGGCTCCGGCGATGTGCGTTTACCCTCCTAGGAATTAAAGAATTAAACAGCCATCTGTTGTTCAGTACTTACTAAACACAAATGTGCTTTGTAGTGCAGCCAGGGAACTGGCCATCAGAGGCACACAATATGCCTGGCGCAGGGCACCAACTTGGCAATGGCACAGAGATAGTCTCCTTTTCTTCTACATAACATAGTTAATAATAATAATAATAATAATAATTGCATTTATATAGCGCATATCCATGCTCAAGAGCATGCTCTATGCACTTTACAACTATTATTACCCCAGCAGACCCTCTGAGAAAACTCAGAAACATTCTCGGCTTCCGTGGAAGCATACAGTGCAAGCTGCGGATTTCACACGCTCAAACACTATCAAACTGACAAGATCTTTCACTGTCTATAGCCGGGTACCCATTTCCACCTGGGTGAAGTGAGGAAAATTTGTGCAAAGTGTCTTTCCCAAGGACAAAACGTCGGGCCCCTGACGGGATTCGAACCCACGACTTTACGATTGCAATTCCGAGAGCCTAACCACCAGGCCACCGACGCCACATAGTTGCACCTGCTGTAATAATAGCATTTATACTGTGCATTTCCATTTTCTAAAAAATGCTCAATGCGCATTACATTCATAAAGATGTCACATTTTAATAATTAATGAACATGTGTGTATGTAAAACATTGTGTCATATGTATATTTGAGTAAAAAATTTCTCTGAGGCCACCAGTATAAGAAGACTACTTTTCTACTAAACAACAGGTGGCCATCTTATACAATTTCGACTGTACGACGTCGCGAGCCAGTGATTATGCCATTGTGCTGGACATCTGTTGGTCACCTCATTAGGTCTTTCTGGACAAAGGAAAATGGCTTATTATAATATTGGAATTGCTCTAGTCATTGCAGAATCATTTCCCTTGACATTGGGCAGTCGCTGTTTAAAACTTTGCCGTCATTTGCTGTGATAATGCGAGAGTGAAAATTATCTCTTCCACTAACTCTCCTGGCTGGGTGACCAGATGGGGTATTTTGTATAGCTGGCTGTGTGACAGCGAAGTGTTAATAGAGGCCAGCCTCAAAACATAGACATACTGCCAGCCATGCTATACCACCAACGTCACACTCATCCCACCAATTCTTGCTGTTTGTGCAAAGTGCCTTTCCCAAGGACAAAACGTCGGGCCCCTGACGGGATTCGAACCCAGCAAAGTGTGACTAAATGTTGCTTGGTATAAGCACTTATGACAAAAAAAGCTAAGCTTACTCACCTTTCTTCCCAAAAACTTTGGAGTCTAAGGGCATCTTAAGATCATCGAAGGCCTTCAAGATCATGCAAGCAGTAATGGGCTTACTGATGCTTGCAATACGAAACAAGGACTCCGCACTCACTCTTCGGCCTGCTCCTGCTGTGCCATATCCTGACAACAAAAGAGAACCGTCTTATTATTTTGAAATGTAGGTGTTTTTAAGCCCCCACCAACACAATATAAACCACTTGAGGGGGGAGGAGGCTGCCCTGTCTTTAAGGAATACAACATCCCAGAAGAGAGATCCAGAAACTCAAAGAAAAGGAAAGCACTAAAACAAAAAAACATGCACAAGACAAATTAGTGCATCTTTGTGACATGATCTTATTAGCAATGAGTAAAAAAAATAGTATTATTTACAATTAAGATTTTTTGGGGTAGCCATATATATGTTAACTGATCTAAAATTTAAAGATGAAGAGAAGGATAAAATCTAGAAAGGAGGAGAATGGGAGTAGGGGGTGTATACAAATTTTGCATAACGGCTTGAATGACTCTCTGTTATAACATTATTTTACTCATGGTGTGGTACAAAAGTCATGCAAAATAATTTCTCAAGGCATATATAACAATTTATTGAGATTTTTACATTGCAGGATAAGCATGGATTTTTAAACAAAAATAATAAGTCTATCATTTATTCTTCGGACACACAATGCGGAAAGAAGCATTAGAGAATATTGTAACAACAGGAAAGTTTGATGGAAAGAGAGGCAGAGGCAGACAGAAGGAAAAGATGCTGGACAAGATGACAACATGGCTGGAAGCAGCAAGAACAGACACCATTGCTGCATCGAAAAACAGATGGAAGTGGAGGTCCATGATCGCCCACGCCAGTCGGCAAGGCACCGGATGATGATGATCATTTATATAGACTCTCATGAGTATGTATGTGTCCTTCAATCCCCCCCCCCCCACCCAACTCACCGATTCTCCATCTTTCCATCCACCCCACCCCCCTCACACACACACACACACACACACACACACACACACACACACACACACACACTCACATACACACACAAACCAACAAGTAAAAGAAACGAAATATGATGAAAATAAAGACACAATTAAGAAACAAAATGCACAGCTCAGATGAAACATGGCTTAAGTAACATTTTACCTTGCTGATATAAAATTACACCATCTCTTGCTATGGCAACACTGGCTCCTGGAATTTTTTGTTCAGTCAAGAAAGTTGCAATAATCTTATCAAACTTTCCCCAAGAGTCATGAGTTTGTACATTTGGCCCTCGCGTACCTGGGAGAGGGGAAAGACAAAGTTCATAGAAAACAATTTAGAGAGTATCAAATGTTTGAAATTAGTCCCTAAGGATTTTTTAAAAAGCGTATGAACAGAAATATTTCAAAGAACCATTTCACTAATCATAAGCACAGGATAAAAATAAATTTAAAAAATAAAAATAAAAACGAAGATAAAAACAAAGTAGGACATGCAAGGTAGGTAATCATTAAATTTCTTTGAGGGTAAAAAGGTTTCCATAGTTTGCTGCCCTTTTAAAATAATAAACCATCAGGTTCCAAAGAACAGTCTTTACATGCATAATTCTGATTTCAATTGAAGATTATGAGAGAGAAAGAAAAGGCCAATCGACAATATTAAGTTTGAAGCACAAACCGACAGCTGTTTGAATATTGTTTCAGAAAAAAAAAGAAACAATAAAACAAAAATACAGAATTTTAAAATAAATAGACCAATAATATGGTAGTTGAAAATGTAATCCTTCAGCTGCACCTGCTGAGGTGGTAAGTAAATCATTTCATGTGTTTGTAGCATAGCTATTATCTGTAGTTCAACCCCTACCTCCTAGAAGGAAAGAAATTATAAAGAAAAAAGAATAAATGTGTCACCAAGCGGTGGAATCAGGAGCTCGTCAAACTTTGGACATGTGGAGCAATTGATATCATTTTATAATTTTTCATTGTCCTTGCTTTTGGTGAAAAAAGTAGGCATACACATCAATCTAGAATAGAAGTCATTTGTGATTGAAGAAGATGGGAGGGTCGCCTGGTTTCAGAGTTAAAAATAAAATTAGCGAGAAAATGGCAAGCAAAGTTTGACGACTTCCAAAGCTTGAGAGTCCTTGCAAATTGCAAAAATATAGACTTTTTTGCCTTACATCAACATTTTTCAGTAAAATCGAAACAGTAAGGTGTTTTTAAAAGGACCTTATTAAAGGTGATGAGTCAAAAAACAGAAAAATCGAAAAAAATTACCAAAATGCCATTTTCTTCGATTTCATTATTTTGACGATCGTCTGATTTCAGAACGTTGCCTCACAAACATAATATGTGAAATGTTTCTTACCTGATAGCACACTGTAAGAATGATCATTTTGCAGCCAAGAAGAACTGTGACTGTAATCATGTGACATTTTTCCAATCATACATGACATGCGTTTGTGCATTTCACAGTTCATACACAGATGATTTTTTTTCCGTCATACACTCAGTAAGTCTCTTGGTATCTCATGACTATGTAGCCTAGCTGAAAAACAAATATATATGAATAAAGAAAAAACAATACCTTGAAAAATCAGTTTTAAACACCTTCAGTAAATTTAATAATTAAAAGTGGAAAATAGCTTGCAAATTAGCATAATTATAAAGCCTAAAATTATCTTCTTTTTTTTTAGTGTTTTACAGCACAATAAGGTCATAGCCTATATATGTGCCGAAGATTAGAGGCGTTACAAGAGAAAAACAAACACAAAACAAGGAGGGGAGATAAAGACGATAGCCGATGTTTGATAGGAAAGAAAAAAACAAACCATGTACCAGAGCACCCGCCAACCACTCACATAAAATTATTAAAAAATGAACGAACTCTTTACTTTACTCATAAGAATTAAAAGAGACAGGCTGTAGACTATTACACTGCCTAGCAACCCCACCCCTTGCAATGGGGCCGCAACCCTATTCCATAATTCCTTCATAATTAATCATATCTATATGAAATCATCCAACTTGAAAGTTCAATGGAAGAAGTCACATTCTAACTTAGAAATTTTCTAAATTACATTATGTACTGGCACACATACACACACTATATGTCTATATATATTATTCACTGTGATGACTGATGGGTAGGCTAGTCAGCCTAATCTAGGGGAGTTGAGAAAGATAAGAACAAAATAGAGATCAAGCTAGACGTTAAGTTGCGTGTGTGAGTGTGTGTGTGTGTGTGTGTGTGTGTGTGTGTGTGTGTGTGTGTGTGTGTGTGTGTGTGTGTGTGTGTGTGTGTGTGTGAGAGAGTAGAGAGAGAGAGAGAGAGAGAGAGAGAGAGAATAATATACCGTAATATACGAAGGCGAAGGAAGCACGTTTTTGTCACGTAGATCTAGAATCTAGATCTATATCTATATGAAAAGCGAGAAATTCGTTTTAGCGTCATTGTGTCGAAACAAAACGTTTATCTGGATCTCGCGATCAGAAACTGACTTGACAAGAGGTTTTCTTCCGAAGTTTTTTGTAGGCCTACCTCTTTGATGCTTAGCATGAATCGCTGCTTGATACTTGATGTAGTCTTTCTTTTCGCAAAAGTATTGTTTATAAAATCATTGTTTTATATAAAGAAAAGAGCTCTTCAATTGACAATACCAACAGAAAAGTATGCAGTCACATGATCAAGTCACATGATAATTATTTATTTCATTGAACACGGTACCAGTTTACCACACAAGGCCGGAGGCCACTTTATTATAAAAAAGGGGGACGGTTCGTACGCAACTATTATGCTAGAATCTTGATGGAGAACCAAGAAATCAGTGATAAGATGGGACAAGGACGTGAACGCCCTGAAGATAATGAACCTATAATCGTCACAGAAAATGTACTCGATCAACATTACGAGTACTTACGTGACCCCTCTGGATACACAGTTTATACCAGACGATGGTTTTTGTTGTTTGTTATTGCAGTCATCAACTTCACAAATGCAATGGTACGTTATTTTACATCCATCAACAAATGAAAGGCTCACTGTCAACACGAATGCTTGTAGAATCTTATCATGACAACATGGAAATATGGAAAGCTTTCTTGTAGTAATTTTAATGTGGCCACCTCTATTCTCACCCGGAGTGAGAATAGTGCAGGCAAGTCTTGTGGCTATTCTCACCCGGTGCGCGTACACCAAATTTTGCGTTCACCCTAAACCACAGAATTCTACACTGTGATAACAGAAAAATTGTAGAATTCCGTGCCGTGAACAAACGTTCCATTACAGCTGTAGTCTACTAAAAGCGTACAATTTTGTCTGTGGGCAGTGGAGAGAGAGAGAGAAAGAAAGAGAAGAGTAGCGCGAGAATTTCCGGGCAAAACAAAATGGCGACCCGCGTAGTTCGGCTCGATTCGAAAAGTTAAATAGCCATAGCATCTTTGTAGACAACCAAATTAATTTACTTTTGTGTTTTAACATAATTTTTTAACTTTGTTTTGGTCAATTTGATCGTCCACACCGATAGACAGTATTCAGAAAGAGACAGAGAGAGAGAGAAGAGGGGAGGAGTTGATCTTGCGAGAACTTCCGGGCGGGTGAGAATAGCCACTTTCTTTTAATGTCCAAAGTCCAAAGTCAATATATAAAAGATTTTTATTTAATTTGTTGATAATGTTTATGAATGATGATTATAATGGATGGGTGGTGTAAGTTTTAATTTTCACTCTTGTTATGTGCACTGTTTTTTGGGACAAATATTTTTGTCTACAAAATACACAGATGGCCTCTAAAAGAAAATCACCCTCAGCCTCAATTGATTGTTTTCAACAACGGAGTATCTACGTGCACGGTAACCAGGCACAAAGTCTCAATATCTACGTACACGGTAACCGGGCACGTAGTCTCAATATCTACGTACACGGTAACCGGGCATGTAGTCTCAATATCTACGTACACGGTAACCGGGCACCTAGTCTCACCTTGTCTTAGTATCTACGTACATGGTAACCTGGCACCTAGTCTCAGTGTCTACGTACACGGTAACCGGAATGAAAATAAATCAATATTTGTCTAGCAATGCTAATCAGGCTTTCCCCCGCGGCGAAAATTTGGTCCCTGTTTGCGGGCAATTTTGCGGACCCGGCCGAAGCGTAGTTGACTAACTTTGTCAACCTTGGTCTGCTCTATTTCCGAACCAATCCGAATGAAACTCGACAACCAATCAGAAAATAGGGCAAACTAATGATATGTGGACGTTGAAGTTCGTACACATAAATTAACCTATAATACTTTTGGTGTCGGGAACACTTTCGTATCGTGTACACCGAAAATTATAAGGAATTTGAATTTCAACGCCGAGATGGTAATAGATCTTATCTATCCTCTATAGTGTGCTCAAATTTGAACGTTCTGTGTCAAGTAGTTGTTTAGACCCGATCATAAATGCACGACTACCCCCCTATCCAAAGCGTCTTCGCAGGGAGACCGGCCATTTTCCCCTCACTCTCGCGGCAAATGTATGTGACCTACAAATCCCCGCATGACTATTCCGCGCCCGTTCATTTGTCACTTGAAATAGGGCAATGGCGGGCGTGCGCATCCGGTTGTTTTTCTCTCTATTCCCCTGTAACATCGCTATGGGGGTATTCCGAGGCGAGGTTATCTCGTCTCGGGGTGTTCACGTCTCAACGGGGAAAAAGAATTTTTAATTGTACGGCTAGATTGAATTAACTTATCTTTTACGGTTGGCATGGTCTAAAGTCATCATAAAAAGCTTTGCAATTATTTAGTCACGCTGCCGACATATTCTTAAAGATCCCATGTTGTGATACGATGCTATAAATAAAATGGACTCATCCCGACACCCCTTTTTCGCAAAATCGTAATATGTACCCCAAAATTTTAATTATAACAAAATAACTACGAAATGGGTAGTAAATCTGACTGCAGTAATGATTTCTACACCCAAAAACACATCGGGTAGCCAAGTTTCTCTCTAACACTCTGAATAGTTACCGAGATGATATCGTCGATTTTCTTACAGAATCTACTACTGCGTGGTCCACTTTTTAGGAGAGTATTTTCCTATATATATTTATGTGGGTCATCCATATTTTGCCGACCTTTACAACCCCATAACGTTTTTATTTATGAACTGATTCTTAAAATTCAAAAAGCATAATTCTTAGAATTAAAAATTCTTTTTTAGGTACCAAATAAAAAAGGGCTAAAATGAAAATTTAAATTTTCATTGGCATTGCTAATTTTACCTGTGTTGTCACTTGCTGAAAAAAAAGAAAGAAGCATCTTGTCGGGCTCGCCATCGTGACCAGTCAGTGAACCTTTGCGTGTGCATCATATTGTGAGTATCCGTTGGGGTCACCATAGTTCATACTATGTCTGTGCATTGCGAAGTATAGGGCTCCGGAATGGTAGGGATTATTTTTTTTTTTTTGTAAGGTACAGTCGGGGGAGGGGTGGGGATGAAGGCAACACCAGAGGACAAAAACTGAACTTAGGAGTTCTGGACTGCCCGGTTACCATGTACGTGACACTGAGACTACATGCCTGGTTGCCGGTTACCGTGTACGTAGATATTGAGGCTACATGCCCGGTTACCGTGTACATGACACTGAGACTACGCGCCCTTTTGCCAGTTACCGTGTACGTAGACACTGAGTCTAGGTGCCCGGTTACCATGTACGTAGACACTTCGTTTCAACAAAGTAGCGAAGGAAGTGTAACCCCCGGTGAGAATACCCATGTCTCGCTATTCTCACCCCCTCGTTTTACCGGAAATGACCCTAGAGGAATCAGAGCTGAGGTTCTAGCGGGCATGACCCTGGGGGGAGGGGGTCAGGGCTGATGCTCCACAGCATCGTGTTCATCACTGTTCGTGTCCGAATAGTCACAGTCAGGGTTGTCAGTTTGGAACCAAATCTCAGAAATTTGGCTCTTTTGGATCGTGTCTGGCCTGGAGAATTTCATTTGGCTCTCTGGCTCTTTTTTGGCTTGACAAACTCCAAATGTTCAAGAAGAAGGGGAAAGAAGAGGCGCAAGGAAAAAAGAAAAAGAAAGAATAAAAGAAAAAAAAATGAAAGTGAAGAAAAGAGCTTGGATTGTTTAATTATCAAACTAGTTAACACGATTTATCACCCTCGCCCATTTGGTCTGAATAATTTACAACCCTTAGATGCTACCGTTGTGCAAGAGCATTTATTGTCTCGTGCTTGTGTCTCGTTACGTTTGTACACGCTCTCTGTTCCTTGAACCATAATTTATTGTGTGCAGGCAGAGAGTGAGAGGCCTGCCATCGTTAAGTCTGTAAACGACGAATGGTCCGGCCGGCGGCCAGTCCCACATACCCCTCATGCATGCAGTAGCATCGGTAGTGAGCCTTTTTTTTTTACTGGAGAGGCGAAAAATGTTTTTACATTATTGTTCATTCCCAACCACATGCGGTAAGCCACCAAGGGCCTAGGTGATTTTGTCAGCCTGTGAGAGGTCAGGGGGGGAGTCCTCGCCTCATGCCTGCACTGAAGTGGGAGCTATTCTCACTGGTTG